CACCGCCCCCGGCTTGCTGCCATCGGGAGCCGGCGTGCCCCGGGGCTGGGGGTCCCCCATCCCCCCGAGCCGGGGAGTACCGCTGACCTCGCCGTTGACCTGTTGTCCCCTCCACCTCACCGGGTCCCCATCCTCCAGCGGCATCTCCCTGCCGAGCAGAGGTCACGCAGGGTAGGGGAGCACCCTCAGGGGAGCACCCACAGCACCCCGACCCACTGCGGACGGTGCTTCCCAACTCCCTGCGCCACCGAAGGACACGGGAAGGGCAGGGATGGAAAAAAAATAAACAACCCGAGGAGGACGCAGCCGGCGGAGATGGCAGCAGAGCCACCCAGCCCAGGGACACCCCGGCCACCACCCGGCCACCGCAGCCCCCTACTCACGCCAGCCCTGGTATGGTGGCTTTCCCAGTGGTGGTTTCGGGGCGACCGGCCAGCCGCTGCGGCACCGCGCACCGGGGCCGCCGATCAGCAACGATTTGGAGAAGGGAGGAGCAGGGGAGGACGGGGAGGAGGGCGAATGCAGATTAGCGATGGCAATAATCCGCCTCGGCGGCCCATTTCGGGGAGCAGCCGTCGCGGCGGGGCCATGGGGAGGACGCTCGGCCGAGGGTGCAAGGAAGGAAGGGCAGGCGGAGGAGGGAAGGAGTGGAAAAAAGATGGAGAGAGGCAGTGGAAATGCGGGAGGCAAAGGAGCTGAGTGCCAGAAATAGCCCCGAGAAACCCAAGCGGAGCACCGAGGACGGGGATAGGGTTTCGCCTCTGCCGGGGAGAGGGAGCAAACATTGCCCATCCTGCCAAGGAGCCGTTTTGGGGAGATAACAGGCCGGCCGAGCAGCAAGGAGCGGGCTGTGGGAAGCAGGGGGGCAGTGCATGGCTGCGCGGCTGCCTGCCTGTGCCTGCCTCCTCCTGCCTCCTCCTGCCTGCCTGCCCAAATTGCTGCTGCCGAGCTGCTCAGCACCCTCCTCCGTGCTGGGAGGGGGGGGACGCACCAAGCCCAGGGACACCCACAGGGGACCTGGTCACCCCCACTCTGTGCCCAGCAGCTGTCGCACCCTGCCCTGACCCCCACAGGGTCCCTCTTCTCTACTGGGCTGTTTTCAGGAATTTTGTTAAGAATTTCCTCCCTTTTCCATCCCTGCCTCCTGACTAATCACCCAGACACAGCACAGGCACCCTGAAAGCTTTGGGGATGCCTGTGCACAGACCAGCACCCCATTTCTTCACAGAAAAAGGCCAAAACCACATTGCTTCTCACTGAGGCACTGGATTTCTTCTTGTTTTATCATTTCTCCTAACCAAAAATCAAATCAGTTCAACTGATCCAGCAAAACCTTGACGAACGCTGACATCTAGCAAATCCATAGGCAAGGCAGGTTTGCTATACCCATCGCTGGGATAGCCCAGCCCCAAACTGGGACAGAATCAGCACCTCTGGTAACAGCACATCACTGCAGCAACCCACAGGGAAGCAAACCTCGCACCCAAGTTGCGCCGAGCCCCAGGGAATCGTCATCGTACCCTGCAAAAAAAAAAAAAAAAATTAATAAAAATTTTTAAAAATCACGCTTACTGCAAAAGGGGCAGAGGCGAGGGTGTGTTAGAGACCTGCTGAGGTTTCATTTCTACTGTAACAGTTTGTATTACGAAAGATCATTTACAGAGCCAGGGGCACTAACGAATTAAAGCCGCGTCCGAAGCCCAGCAAGCTGCAGGGCTGGCTGCAGCCGGCCGGGTCGGGGATTCATTCTGATACGGAGCGCCGCTTTCATCACCTGCTCGTTAGCGAGGGAAGCCCGCGACCGGGGAAAGCACCCATGGGTGCTGCCAGGCCGGGGGGGAGGTGGATGTCAGCCCCAGAGGGTACCGGGCTGGGTGGGTGCACTCCTGAATGCTGCTTGTTACCTTCATCACACCTCAGATGTCGCCAGGAGGGACGGTGGCAGCACGGTGACAAAGCCCTGCCCCAAGGGTGCTGGGCTGCCATTTGGTGGGGCCAAAGGTGAGCGGTGGTGGAGCTGCCATTGCACAAGTGCAGAACGGGGCAGAACTGGTTACGTGGTGGCGGCCGAGAAGGAGGAGGAGGTGTGGATCAGCCCCATGTCCGAGACCAACATAAGCCATCAGGATCTCACCGCAGCTGGCAGCGAGCGTGCCGGTGTGCACAGGCAGAGACAGGCGTGTGGCATCGCTCGGTCCCGTGCTGCTGCTGGGACCAGAGACCACCTGGGAGAAGAGAAGAAATAGTGGGTTGAAAACCACATGGGAGAGGCAGAGTTATGGCTTCTGGGGGAAAAGTGTCAAACCCATAAGAGCCTCTTGCTTTGAGCGGCAGTAAAGGTGGGATTCGCAATGCCCATGGAGGAGCAGCATCCATAGAGTCTGAAAAGCCGTTAAGGAGGGCCAGAAAATTCAGGGTTGTAGCCCTAAGTCTGCTTCCTCGCTGCCTTGCAGAGCTCCATTTTTGAAAGAAACTTTTAAACCCCGGTTTACATCTGATTTTCCACCACGCGCAGGCCAAGCCATGCAGTCCTACTGACCCCACTAAGATTTGGGGGATGAAAGCAAATGCTGACTTGGCCCATGCACCGTGGCTGCAAACACCTCCAATTTAGCAGGAAAAACACATTAAAGACTCAGAAATCCTTCGGTGCAGCAGGGCGAGCTGGAGGGATCAGCGTAATCCCCGGAACAGCGAGCTCTTGCTGGCGGCTGCTGACCCTGTGGCCGTCCCTCTCCCCGGGCAGCACGGGGGTCCCGTGAGCAGACCCCACTGCCTCCGCAGGCAGCTGCCAGCCCCAGGGGAGCCCCGGGATCAGGTCCCCACTGCTGCCCTCATCCGAGCATCAGCCCCTCAGTCCCCGTGACGGAGCCCAGCCCCAGCTGGCAGCCGGAACAGCCAAATCTGGACCCCGGCGGGGTCTGCCCGTGTCACTGCTGCCAAACAAGGGGAAATTGGACCATTTTAATGTGGCACGAGGGCATGTGTGCCAGGCTGAGGGGACCCAGTGGCTGCAAGTGCTCCCTGTTGATCCCCCCAGGATTCCACCAGTCTGTGGGATGAAGCCCGCTGCAGCCCCCAAAGGGGCCATTTCCACCCCCAAACCCCAGAGCTGTTTGCAAACGCTGCAGCATTTGCACCCCAGAGGTGGGGACAGAGCCCCCTTAGCAGCCCCTCCATCCCTTCAGCCACCCGCCCTCTGGACCTGGACCCTGACCCTCCTCCTCCTCCTCCTCCTCCTCCTCCTCTTCTCCCACGGGATGAAGGAGCAGACTGTAGGGCCTG